ACACACACACACACACATACACACATACACGCACACACGCACACACGCACACTCACTCACTCACTCTCACTCACAATCACACACTTATACATACATATACATAGATGTGCATCGGATTGATTAAATTTCTTTTGTGCATTTCAGAGTGAATATGTCAATTTGTCGGATCTATAAAGACGGTGAATTGTGAAGGAATATTTTTGTAAGTTATACTAAGATGTTTGTGGCAATTTAATCATTGACAAATTAACATTTTATGCATCATTATACAAGAGGTTAAAGGTGTACAATGCTCTCGGCGTGACTTCTGGTTAACGTTTAAGAAAAGTTGTAAGTGAAAAAAATCACAATGACTATGAAAAATTGTGAAAGCTTTGATGAGGAAGACATCCACTTTGGCCGCTTCTACAAGGCATCAACGCAGACATGCAAGCGGGCAATGAAAGAAATATTTTTGGTAGTTTTCTACAGAGTATATGTCAGGCCCCTTGAAGCGTGGCCAACAAACCTTAACCAGTATTGTACCCAAGTTCTAGGTTGGTCTAGTCGAAAGCTTCGTGAGAGCTTCAGTGCCAATGAAAGAGCCAAATTTGACGAGGCAGTGACATCAGCTGACTACGATCTCTCTCTTCTGACTAAGATGTTCAACAAGTTTTATGAACACATACCATTTCCCGAGTCCCTTGGAAGAGCAATGCGAGATATAAAGAATGTCAGAAATAGAGTTTGTCATGAGCAGTTTACATTCGACGAAACGGATCTCCGAGAAAACATGGAAGACCTGCAGCAAATGCTACGCACCCTTTTTGACGAAACTTCAAGCTTTTTTGAAACAGATCTTGGCAATTTGAAAAAGTTTTACCTTGATGAAGTGGATGAAATCAGATCAGCCCCAATTACAGGGCAGGGTATGACTTACTTTGAAAACATGGAGAAATTTCGGGAAGATCTTGTGGGTAAATTTATAACGTATGGAAGAAAAGAACTCACATCCTTTTATGGTAAGTTGAAGATTCTTAACCCCTTCACCTGGTTAAGTGATGAGAAGTTCCCGGAGCTTGTGGTGGACAAAATCTTCACTCCACTCTACATCAGAGAACAAGAGAGAGCTATCGATGTGGCCAGGTTATTTGTTACGGAACTGTACAGTGAGGAGAGACAGACTGAATTGGGGGTTCTGCCAGCTGTACTCATCTTGTCAGGCATAGCTGGTTGTGGAAAAACCTCTCTATGCCGATATATTCTCCATGTTTGGCGAACTAGAAATGGGGTGATTCAAGACTTAAGAGCAGTAGATATTATGATATTTGTGGAAGCTAGAAGTATCACAGAGAGTTCACTAACTGCATATTTGCAGAAAACATTATTGCGAGAAACTTGCAGTTACTTTGATGAGAAAGAAATAGTACTGACACTTCAGAAGATAAATGTTCTGTTTGTTATTGACGGAATGGACGAGGTAACTGAAAATGGAAAGATTTTAGTTGAAGAAATTTTTTCAACACTTGGCAATGCTCGGGTAATTATCACATCGCGTCCTGAATTCGTTTATATTATTACGCAAAATATGCAAAAGTTTCATCACAGATTTTTGAAACTCAGAATTCAAGGCTTTACCAAAGAGGGCATTAAGAGTTTTACTTCAAAGATTCTAAAGTCTTGTGAACCAAATGAGGAAAAGTGTCGCCAAATTGAGACGGAGTTCAGAAGTTTCTTGAGGACAACAGGAAGTGCTTTAGGCGAACACTTGAAGCTGCCTCTTACAGCAGCATTATTGATCATGCTGTGGAAAGACGACAATTCTCGCATATCAAATATCACATCACCAACATCCTTGTATTGTGAGCTATTCAGATTATGTACTATGAAGTTGATCGCAAGGCTCCAGGCATCGACAGCCGCCCACCACATAGAGTTAGAAGGTGTTGTGAATGCGTGGTTAATGGCCCTTGCAGAAGAGGCATACGAAATGCTGAGTTCAGGAAGATTTACAATTGAAAGTTCAAAGCAATATCACTTAACTTCCTTGTGCAAAAAATATAACATTGATTGCATCCAAACCCTTTCTGCTTTTCTTATTTGTGAAGTCCATGAAAGATTAGGTGGCACTGAATACACCTTTTCATTTTTACACAAGAGTCAAATGGAATACTTGGCATCGCTTCACATAACGAAGAAGTTAATAGAAGTACACAAACCAGAGTCAAAATCTTTCCCCAGAATGTTGAAAAAGTTTATGAAGATCTTCCAGAAGGAAGAAGAAGAAGAAGACGAAGATTATCTGCTGACAACATTACGTGATCGTCGGTGGTGGAACACTGTGCTTTTCACTTTAGGTCACGTGAGTGAGACGAAGAAAGTGTCAGAAAGGCTGATAGGGGATCTGGTAGATATCCTGATTGATCACAGTATCCATGACAACTCTTTAATGTGGCGGATAATCCAAGAGTCAGGATGCCACCCCCTTGTGTGTGACCTGGTCAGCGCTGTGATAGTTAAGGATTTTGTATGGAAGGCCGATTGTGAAAGCTTGTGCAATCCAATGAATCCAAATGTATTGCTAATGCAGAAGACCAAATATAGTCCAAGTGGTGTATTATTAAGGATTGTTGATAAAATCGGACATGGAAAAGTTGCTCCAGATGGCGAGAACTTTGGGGAAAGAAACAATGTCAACCTGTTCCCCATTTTGCGGTGTTTGTCAGAGCGGCCACAGACGAACGTTGTCCTGAGGTTGGATCAGCACTACTACGAGTGGGGGAACATGGAATTCAGTGACGACATCGTGACAACTCTCCTGCCGGGAGGGAAACTAACGGCTTTCATGGGCCACCTCGGGCAGGAAGGGGCCAAAGCCTTTGCGGCCGTAGAAAAGCTGGGCGAAACCTGCATCCGCGTTACGGACCTCTCGACGCTTCAGACGCTGGAAAACGCCCTCGCCTCAGGACCCAAAAAGAGGAGCGTAGACATGCTCACGGTACGAGTCGACATACCCTGGACAGCGACGACAGAAGCCATTCCGAAGATCAACACCCCTTCTTATATGTCCTTGATCCTGAAAGATGTGAGCGATGTGACTGAGGAACGTGCTGCCGATGTGATTATCAAGATGAGGAACTCGTACGAGATGGTGGACCTTGTAGCCTCCAGCCTCTCTCCTGCGGGAGGTTTGAGGTTCCTGAAAAGGCTAATAGAAAACAAAATTGAAGTATTTGACAAAATTACTATACGTTCCTGTTATGGTATAGATCATGTGGACTACGAAAAGTTGAATAAGGATATCCAGTATAATGTAGAATGGCTGTGGTAATGATATTCATTAATTGTTCATGTAGAATTGTGTGAGAAATTAAATGTACCTGAAAATTCTTATTATGTACTGTTACACTCTGTATATGCACACACACACACACACACACACACACACACACACACACACACACACACACACACACACACACACACACACACACACACACACACACACACACACATTCACACCTATACGAATACATACTCATATACAGAAAATATAAACTCTTGTATGTGTCTGCATCAATGTGTAAGTGTAAATATGTCTGTATTTTCAATATATTTTTTCCACTTTTTGTTGAATATTCCTAAGGAATGACACATTTATCTTAAAGTATGTAAAGCTATTTTTCTGATGTTTTATTCCTTCCTATTATTTATTGCAGATTTTTATGAAATATGCTCATGTGCACACACACACCCGCTCCCACACACTCATACCCAAAATTACCCCCCCCCCTCCCCCACACACACAGCTATAAATAGCTATATCACTTCTGAGTATCCTTATTCTTCAGAAATTTTGAATTATATATGATACTGCATTTGCACCTCCGGAAAAAAAATATTCGTAGTGGTTCTACAGGAAAGAAATGTTATTGTATAAATGTTTCCTCAATATGACTAGCAGTGCTGGGAGGCAGCGAGGCTGCACGTGGGAAAACTTGTATGAGAGCATGTTTAAGAAGCACTTGTTTAGAGGCTTGTGTCTGAACAAAGTCATTTATCGATATGACCAAGTGATAAAGAAGGTTATTCCAAGGCTTTGATTGTTTTAATTGTGATAAAGTGGCGGTGGAATGTTTGTGTCGTTTGTTATATCATGCTGGATAAGAATAGAAAGTGACACCGATGCTCACTGGGAGACCTAACTTCCTCCAGTAAGTATTGGTGGGCGAGCAGTGTGTTTGGGATTTCACTGTTACCTGTCCTTAGAAAATACATAACTGTGCTGTAGAAACATATGGCTCATATTCACTTTTCACCTAACATTATCGGTAAACACATGCGGAAGCATCCTTTTTTTATACACTTGGATACGTAGGGTAAATCGCACACGCAAAATCACACACACACACACACACACACGCACACGCACACGCACACGCAGACACGCGCGCACGTAAACAATTAAATTTTTAGTACTTCAAGTAAAAGCCAACGAACCACTGAATCTTATTTTCCATTTACAGAGCAAGCGGCAATTCAAGACGAAACTAATAGTTGTGGCCAGTACAAGCAATCTTCCATGAAGTGCTCGCATTATGATAAACATGTGCTTTTACCAGTGCCAGAAAAGCAGAGACTGTACAGCCTTGATATTTAGAGAAATTACTTCATAAGAGTATTTCTACAAACAGAGGGTTTGTGATGATTCCTCACAGCAAGAGAGCTTCAAAGGACAGCCGTGGATATCGTTTCAGCAGTGAAGTAAAACTTTCGCCTTTCTTCATCTCCTTGTCTTCCACAGCAACTTTAAAGCAAAAAGTCACTACATTTCAACATTGAGGCTTTACAAGGCATCTAGGGAAATATTTACGTCAACAAAGGAAACAAAATGTTGGGTAAATTAAGGCAAGGGATTCGCTCTCTCCTGTCCTCCATTATTCTGGTGATGATGCTTCCCGTGGCAGCTCTGAATTCGGGAGGTTTTGATAAAGACGATATTCACTTTGCGCGCTTCTACAAGGCGGCAACGCAGACCAACAAACGGGCGCTGAAAGAGATTTTTCTCCTGATGTTTTACAGAGCGGGCGTGCGTCCCATTGAAACTTGGAGTAAAACAGTGCAAGAGTTTTGTGTCGAGGTTTTGGGTTGGTCTAATCGGAAAATTCGTGAGACTTTCAATGCCACCGAAAGAGAAAAGATAGAAGAGCCGTTAAATACAGCTGACTATGATATTTCCCTGCTTGTCAAACTGTTGGGTAAACTCTTTGAAGAGTACAGATTACCTGGACCACTGGTGAGGGCAATACTAGATTTGAAGAATGTGAGAAACAGAGTTTGCCATGAGCAACTAACTGTAGATGAAATTAGTTTACGTGATAATATGGAAGACCTCAAACGGTTATTAGAAAATCTGTTTCACGAAGCTTCAGATTTCCTTGGTATGGATCTCGGTAGCTTAAAACAGAATTACTTAGCTGAAATAGACGAAATAAAATCGGCTCCTCTGACAGGTCAGGCTACAG